TTTTTTTTTTTTTTTTTTTTTTTTTTTTAATTTAGGAAGGGGATGCAGCAAGGAATAGGTTACTGAATAATATATCTTGCATCTATTCTTCAAAATGTAACGAATTTGGAAGCTATTTTTTTGTTTGAGTTGCTTTCTTCCTTTTCCTTTGTAACTATTATGTCATAAAGAACGAGCTCCTCTTTGCATAATTGATGAATGCAACTGTCTGTTTTTTTCTGCATCGTGTTTTCAGTGACACTTAATTTCTTTTTCCATTATATTGATATAGATAAATTCCTTCAGAAGCTCTGTCCTTTGAGTTCAGTCTGAGTGTAAAAAACGCACTCTTCTAGATACCATGACAAATATGCATAAATTTGGGCCAAGCAGCTCCTCCTCCTTGAAAAACAACATCAATGACAGGGTTGGGGATAACAGTAACAAGTCAAGTGACAATGTGCTGCACTAATTCAATAAAGACAGCTGCACAATTCAAATTTTCTTTTTTTACCCGAAATAACAATTTTTATGTTCATGGCAGGACAAGCGAAAGATGGAAGTGGCCATGGAAAGGGAAAGCATGCCTTACTCAGAGACACAGAGGACTTCCAAATGGGAATTTATGATAAGCCCCTTCCGTTTTTTGGATGTGGAGTCGGATGGTTCTCGTAAGTAATTTTAATCAACTATCTTCTCCAATTTCCTCATCTTGTCTCATGTCTTTGTTAAATTGCAGATTTCTTTTTGGATTTCTATGCCCACCAATGTGGTTCTATGCTACAATTCTCTATTTTGGAAATCACTATCGGAAGGATCCGAGGGAGCGAGCAGGGCTGGGAGCCTCTGCCATTGCTGTAATCTCTCTCCCATTTCTCTCTGATCTTTCTGTCTATTTGTCTGTGTTTGATCATGCATACATTTGCATATCTTAACAACGTTGTGCAATGGAGTAAAATATGCTGTCAAATAGAATTGGTTTGAGAAGAGACCTGTACTTACTACCTACCTCAGCTTGGCTCAAGATAAAATAAACAAAAGCTTTAGAAACTCCAGTTTATAGGGCAAGCTTTTAGGATCAAACACACTTCTATGAACATGAATTATATCAGTAAACAAGCCAAATGACTTAGCATACGCTCATTTGAGATGTCTTTCAATGCTACCAGCATTAGTAACTTTTCCTTTTGTTGAATGGTTTTGGGTTCATGCACAAATTATCAATTCAACAAGAGAAATGTAAACCAAACAAACTATAACTTGATCTAGCATAATGACTTGAACAGTTATAAATGAACAGCGGGGATTGAGGATTGCTCTTCAATTTGATTGTAGTTATTCTTGCTATGTATGTTCGTTTTCTGCATTGCAGATATTAAGTATTATTTTATTTCACTTAGCTTCAGTGATGTCTAAATTGGCATGGTGATCAACTTGCAGGCATTACTGTGCTCTGTAGCGTTGCTGATAATTGCAGTTATTCATTTGTTAAAATTGCGGTCCCACTATTTCTAATTTTATGTGCAAAGGTGGAAATTGAGAAGCAAAAGCATTTGGAAGCAACTCTGGCGGCATATTAGAAACAATTGGACATATGTATATAAGAACTTCAAATAGATGGAAAAAAGCTTGCATATTGTTTGTGAAGTAATTCACAGCAAGAAATCTGTCGGCTATACCATACGTTAAGAGAAAATGATGTGTCATATCCTTTATTTGATTATTTTTCTGAAGTGATGTATACTCAAAGAAACGTTTTGACGAGTGTTTATGAATCTCCAAAAATCACCGTTAATGTTTTTTACCCTTGGGATGCTGAAATGCTATATAAGTTCTTCTAGATAAGAAAAGTGCAAGACTCAAAGATAAGAAACTAACCTAACTATCTAAGATAAGGACCACTGATAAACCCTGCTAGTCGTTTCAGACTTGTCCTTCGTAGTGTGTTTGGTGATGTGAGCCACTGAGCCGCAAACATGGAAAACTTTTTGTGTATCTTGTTTTATCGAAATATTTTTCTTTTACTCGATTTCTCAAAGAGAATTAAAAAAAATAGTTTATTTTTTAAATTAAGAGAAAAGACAAACGTTCTCTGTCTGTTTGCAAAGAAATTGAGTTTTAAATGAAATAAAAGTATCAAAATTTCACTGTTTGATAGGAGAGAAAGAGGGAAAAGTTTTGTAAGACTCACCGAATAATATTAAGCCTCCAACCCTTCCCAAATGAATGAAATGGAAAGGAAATTTTCTTTATTTTAATTTCTTAAAAATTTGTAAATATTTTTTATGACATAAATTTTAGAAAAACACTTGTATATTATGAAAAATTAAGAGGAATTTTGCAATGAATATAAAAATGTTTATCATATAATATACTTTTACTTTATTTTTCCATTCATTCGAGAAAATTTACTTCACTTTTCTTAGTTCGATTCGTTCAAATAGCACATCTACCATTATTTCTCTTCTATTTTTATCATTCTTATTTAGTTTCTTCTTACTTCAAAAACCACCAAACTTGAAAGCAGTATGCCTTTTCATTCGGAAGGAAGGTGGGTAAATTGCAATTCTTAAAAACTAATTGCTAATAAAATAGTAATCAATGCTAGAAAATGAGCGGTATCATATATAGTTATTTAAGTGGCTAATTATACGAACCTCACCTGAAATTAGGAGAAATTAAATTTAGACAAAATTTAAAAATCATACTCACCTTTGTACATCTCGTTTGTTGTTTGTTATTTTTAGATTATGCGTATTAACAATAGGAAAAATATATTTTAATTTAAAATTAAATAAAAATAAAGTGTTAAGGGATATAAACAATATGCAAAAAGGAATGGCGTAGAATGTAGACGTAATTCTCATATCAAGCAAAATTTATGTATAATTACCATTGTTCACACATTACTCAACCAACCAATTGAGCTAAACCAACCAACCAATATAATTATCTGATTTAAATAAACTTTCGTCAATTAAAAGGCACATGAAAAGGAAAACTCGATTATTAAACCGCTAAATCAGTTCACGCAAGAGAATAAGGTCATTTTAGATCCATGTTCGGCTAATCTCAACTACTTGATTGTAATTCAACATAATAATCAATCGATCTCTCTGCCTCAATATTTTCTTTGGTTTTCCTACATGATAATAATAGAATATTTGCACAAAGCAACAATTAATAAAGCATCCGTTCACAAAATTTCTCTATATGGGGATTTTTTTTTTTATAAATGAACGTCCAGCAAGCAGCAAGATAATCAATAAAAATCAAAATTGCATGGACTCCTAGCCATAAGAATGCTAACTAGAGTTCAATCTTTGGCCAGCAATCGCACGTACTTGTTCTCAACTGCAAATCTGGAGCTGGAATTGATCTGTCAGCACAAATTTTTCATAAGAAACACATTCATTATTTTAGAAGGACAAATTAACAAAAACAACAATCCATTAGATCGCTCATGGCATACCTTCTGCTCAAGCGCCTCACTCATTTCAGCTTCATCCATTACAATGCCAGACTCCTGCAGTTCTTTGAAAACAGCTTTTCTCAGTTTCTTCATCTTCAAAATTCCATCAGGATGCTGTCACAAACAGAAAAATAAGCACATTTAATTGCACTAAGGAATTTTGCCGTGTAGACCAACACCAAAAAATGGAAATTTTAAGCAAGCTCATTATAGATACCAAAGCTCTACTTAAGTCCATCTTAAAATTCTTTATATAAACACCCTATGCTCGCAGTATAAAGATCAATATAACATCACAGATAAATTAAGCACAGAACAAGAAAGGATGTCATTCTGAAACTCAAAACACGTACAGATTTCAAGGCTGATTTGATAAACTTCTTCCATTTTATCTTATTTTTTACAGCACTTGTACAGTGAGATTCCAACATCCCTTTTCTCTTCAAATTGCTCTCTCCTTTTATTTCTTCACCCTGAATTACTTCTCCATTTCCCATGTCAACTGAAGTGTCATTCCTGCTCTTTTTAACAAGGTCATCCTCCAATTCATCAAGTTTCCTCTTTTTCTTTGCTGAAGAAATTTCATTCCCTGGTTTCAAGTTATCTTGTTTAGCAGACTCTGGCAATTTTGGAAGCTCAACATTTTTGTTGTCTCTTGCCTCATCATTAGGAGCAGTCTCCGCAACAACCTTAGCATCAGGGGAAGATTTGTCTGCCTCAACAGGTTGTTGCTTTGAAGCATGGAATGCTCGGGCCTTTGCCCTGTGTTTCTTTCCATCAGCATGGAGAAGAAGTGTTTGCTTACTTGTAGTTTTAGTATTGCATAGACTACAATGCCACAAATAAGTTGAACATAATAAATCAGACAAAGCCATAATGGTGATGTAAAATTCAAAGAAAAAAATCAATCTCGGTAAAGATTCTGGGCACTATACATCTCCCTCTTTCTAGTATAACATACTTTAGATTTGTCTTAGGCAGAATAGCATGTTCAAATGAGGTGGAAGACACCAATTAAACCAATAAATTACTTTTTAACTAGTTCTGTTTGATATGATTTATAATTAGGAATAAGATCATCTTTGATTTTTGTTCAATTAAGTTCTGTATTTTATTTTTAATTAAGGCTCTTTTATATTGAATTTTTCATCATTAATATTAGTATTATAATAGCATTTATGTTTTATTAGCAAGTCAAACAAACACTATAATGGAGACCGTATTCAAGTTAATCAAAGTGCAGGTAACAGATTCAGGTACGCATATTTCAGTATCCAACAGATATGTGTACATACATTAAAGTTGCTAGCTCTGCAGGTATGTGTCTGGGTTTTGTGGTACCCTACCCATTGTCATCCTTAATCTCACATACTCCAGTAATAAAAGGCAAATGATGCACAGTCAACTAAGTGCCCTTTTACATCCTTTACTTATATTAAGTAAAGAAGGATAAAAAGGTGTAACTAAGACCACCTTGATGATCCGAGGAACCCACAAAAAAAATAAGGCAACAATGCAAGAGGTAAGAACTTAGAAGTCTTCCAATCAAAACAAACAGGATGTGTAGACCATGATAATTATGATTTTCTCTTATAACCATTGAAACATATATCTGTAATGTAATGTAAATACACTGACTACTAGCATGGTACTAGAAATTGTATCCAATAGATTATAGATTACATACCTACAGAACCAAGGAGGCCGCTCAGATAACCCCACATTAATATCAACTTCAGGCCTTTCCTTGCTATCCTTATTTGGCTTGGCTGTTGCAACATTCAAAGATTTGCCTTGGCCTTTTGGACCATATTTTTCCTGGACATCATAGCAAAAGTAGTGTAAAGAACTTCGCTGAACAGTAAACAAAACAAATAGAATTGGGCTGAAAAGTAATTCACTTTATTAAACTTCAAGCATGGCTATTTATAAGCCTTTACAAAACAGAAAGAGAGAAACTAGCAGTCCACGTAGATAACTAACTATATGATAAATCTAAACAGAATTAGAAACAAGTATCTGCACTATCCTTAGAAATAGGCATATTATTAAACAAATCTAAACAACTCCAGAACTTAAATCTTATCAAGTAGGAGGTAGAGCAAATAAGATATATTTTTTAAGACTTGAGTGAAAATTCAATATGCTGCCAAAACAAAGTAACCATATTAATACAAATCTAGCTCCTATATAGAGAATGGATAAGTGCACATTATCCTCAAAAATGCACCCCTCACTCGTAGAATGTGATCATAATAAAAGCGAAGACAGCAACAATAGGGGAAATAAATGATAATCAATCAAGAGGTCTAACTCGCAGAGTGCATGTGTTTGTAAAACCCCATAGTACTGTGTTTGATTCCAATTGATCAAAAAAATAAATGACAATCATAAGTGAAAGGAAACTTTCAAGGAGCTTCCCAGGACACATTGAGGAAACCAAAGAACTAGCACAGAGTAAACCCCATTCAGAAATATAAAGGGACCACCCATTTTGCAAAATCCCAGCACTTAAGAAGTGAAGATATATAAGAAAAAAAATAAAACATCGTCTATTTATACTTAAGAAAAAGGAAGGAACGTGACTCATGCATCATTCAACAAACCACGATGAATAAAAATGAGAATGAGAGACTCACCGCTTCTGTGATACACTGCATGTGATCCTGAACGGTGTCGCGCCCAAATATTTCACCACAGTCAATGCACGACAACTGCAAAACACAGATCAACAGAGAAAAAAATGAGCATCGCAATTCGCAACAAGTTGTGAAGGACGATTAATGAAAAGTGGGATTGAATGAGAACTTTGTAGGCGGAGCAAGTTCGGAAGTGGCTAGACAACTTGGGTTTTTTGAGGTTGTCTCCACAATCTTCGCATTGAAACCAAACCATGTCTGAGTTTTGAAGTTGCGTTGCGTGAGCAAGGACGTTGGTTCTGTTCTGCAACTTTGGGGGTTTAAAGCTTAACAAAAGAGCACTGCTGGCTAGGGTTTTCCGCTTCGCTCCAATTATAAATTATAATTGTACCCTCTTCTCTCTGCCCTACCTCCTATCAATTTTCTTTTATTATTTTATGTTTTATAATTTTTTATTTATATTCGCCATCTTCAAGATCAGAATTCATAATTCATTAATTAAAATAAAATTAAAGCTGTATACTTTGTAAAAAAAAATGTTTGGTAGGATAACAGGATTCTTCTTCACATTTTTTGTTTTGCATTTTAAAATATAAGATTAATTCAATTATTCAACAAAGAATCTATGAGTACAATGTTTATAAAAAAATTAAAAAAAAAATATTCTATAAGCATTATTTATCTTGTAATTTTTTTTATCATATCATTTACAACTTCTATTACTTTCTTTTTTAATTTTTTCTCTTTATATTTCTCCTATTTTCAGTCGGGCAAATATGAATACGAACTGTCACTATCAATATCCAAAAACATGCAAACAAAACAAAACTCAAATTAGGCATAATTTTTTTCTCAAAACAAAATACTATATATATGTTATTTAGATATTACCCAATTCCCTGAACTTTGTACTATTATAATTCCTATTTCCTAATATCCAAAGCAAAATGATAATAAATAAAGGTAATATAAATGGGCCTAGGATAAGAGAGAGGCCCATGGAAGTTGAAAAGGCTGCGGTAGAAGTAAGGAAGTGAAGTGAGGAAAGAGCTAGCATAGCATAGCATAGCATAGCAGAGTTGAGTTGAGTTTGTTTGCAAATTGCAATTAGAATTAGAATGAAGCTGGGTGGAATCAAATCCAAGGAGAACGCGCACGATGATTCCGTGTGGGCGGTCACATGGGTACCCGCCACCGCCAACCGCCCACCGCTCCTCCTCACCGGTTCTCTCGATGAGACCGTCAGGCTCTGGCGCTCCGACGACCTCGTTTTGGAGCGCACCAACACCGGCCACTGCCTCGGCGTCGCTTCCGTCGCCGCCCACCCCCTCGGCTCCGTCGCCGCCTCCTCCTCCCTCGACAGCTTTGTCCGCGTCTTCGACGTCGACTCCAACGCCACCATCGCCACGCTCGAGGCTCCCCCCTCCGAAGTCTGGCAAATGCGCTTCGATCCCAAGGTATACGCCTTTTTCCTCACTTTGCCTCCTACGATTATCTCAAACTTAACGATTCGCTTTTATTTGGTGCTAATGCGGAAACCTAAAACAGTGAAACTTCGTCAACGGAGAAGGAAACTTGTTAATGTATGAAAATCTCACGTTCGCCTGTACTTTATGAAAACATGTGATTAGTTCTGATGTTAATGATCGTAGAGAACTGCCAGTGTTCGTAATTGTTTCGTGAACCCTAAGTGAAAATAAAAAAATTAAAAAAAATAAAACTTGTCCTGCTGCATCAGGGCTCAAATTGTTTACATTCTGAATGTTTGTTAGAATAGTGGATTAAGCCTAACTCAACCCTACAAAACCGGCTTGTAAGGTAAGGGTTGCTTTCCACTTATATACTATTCAATTGCCTAATCTCTAGTCGATGTGGGACTTGGGTTTTTCCCAATACACCCCCTCACGTCCAGCACTATTGGGCTTGGTACGTGGATAAATGGTGGGTGGCCCTTTTTAATGATCTAGGATTGGCGGGACTTGGGTTTTTCCCAATACACCCCCTCATGCCTATGAGACATGCATCAATGGTGGGTGGCCCATTTTTAAAGTGGATCTAAATGGCTCTGATACCATGTTAGAATAGTGGATTAAGCCTAACTCAACCCTACAAAACCGGCTTGTAAGGTAAGGGTTGCTTTCCACTTATATACTATTCAATTGCCTAATCTCTAGTCGATGTGGGACTTGGGTTTTTCCCAATACACCCCCTCACGTCCAGCACTATTGGGCTTGGTACGTGGATAAATGGTGGGTGGCCCTTTTTAATGATCTAGGATTGGCGGGACTTGGGTTTTTCCCAATACACCCCCTCATGCCTATGAGACATGCATCAATGGTGGGTGGCCCATTTTTAAAGTGGATCTAAATGGCTTTGATACCATGTTAGAATAGTGGATTAAGCCTAACTCAACCCTACAAAACCGGCTTGTAAGGTAAGGGTTGCTTTCCACTTATATACTATTCAATTGCCTAATCTCTAGTCGATGTGGGACTTGGGTTTTTCCCAATAATGTTTGTGGCTTTTATTTGTAATGTGCTTGTTACCAATGATTGTTGAAATTTGTGATCATTGAAGTGGTGTTTCTTAATCAAATGGCAATTCTTAATTTCATAGCAACTGAGAAGGTTTTGTTGTGCTTCCTACCCTGCCACTTTTTAAGATGTTTTGTAGGAATGGTTTTATTAAGTTCATAGCAAGTAGAAATTTCCATATTGTGAATGCATGTTTTCTTGCACAAGAGCTTTTTGATACGAAGAAATTTACGACAGGATAGTGTTTTTGACCAATCAAACAAGCATAACCATACTTACTGGTTGAAGTAAGAAAAATTCACTTTCAATGAAACATGTGCTTGTTATAATTATGTTATTTGGTAACGGTTTTTGTGGTACTATTCTTTTCTTGTGATATAGCCATAGCTTAACAATTGTTGCATGTGTTGAAATTGACAATTTTATTGTTTTTGTCGGCACTTGTGCATTGACAATTTTGCGTGCTTAAATTCTTCATCATGTGAATTTGATTGGTTAACTTATAATTAATTATTCGCCAGAGTCAGTCTAATGGTGGGGATTTGGGTAGTTTGCATTTGCACAAGATCCTAGGTTTAAACTTTGTTGCAATCATCGTACACCAAAAAATAGATTGGTTAACTTGCCACTGAAGGTTTGTTCAGTGTTTCTTTTTATATAATTATATCCTTAGTTCTCTAACCTTTTTTTTCTGTCCAAGACCACTACCATATTCAATGATGCAAAGTTTTTGTAATTTGGATGTTCACAATTATTTTGAAGTTTGCAAATGTTTGATTCTACAGTCATGTTAAATATTCTTCAAAGGATACCCTTTGTTTAGGTTCATTTGTTACAAGCCTTGAAAATGGGGTGAAAATTTAGGGATGAGTTTTATGTGAAAATTTTGAGAAAACTCATCCTCTTAATTTTTTATCAACATTTTTAAAGGATGTGTAAAACTAACTATAAGCATGAAATCTCAATCCCCAACTAGCCCATTATTATTACATAATGTGACTTGCTCAATTCCCCAATTCTTACACTACAAAATACTAAACTATTTAATACCTTGTTTTGTTGACTCACTGTCAGTATGTGCTTTTGTATGGAAATTGTATTTGTTCCACTACGAATTTGCAGTATAGCAGAAATCATTTGTTGCTTTGATGCCTTGTGATACTAGTGAAAATGAGCATTTTATCCCAAGTCTTTAATTTTTTCCTTCTATATTATACAATATTTGTTGAATCAACCAAAGTTCCCTAGCTTCAATCCTTTATATCATTTGTTGCTTTGGGACACTTCCACATGGGAACTTGTTGCCACTCTATCACTATGCAAAGGTTTTTGTAATTTGGATTTTCACAATTATTTTGAAGTTTGATTCTGCAGTCATGTTAATATTCATCATTTTAAGCCCCTTGCTTAGGCTCATTTGTTACAACCCTTAAACACGGGGTGAAGTTTTCAGGGATGAATTTTATGTGAAACATTTACGAGAAAACTCATGAATCATCCACTTATTTTTTTATCAACATTCTTAAAGGATTTATGAAACTAACTATAAGCATGAAATCTCAATCCCCAAATAGTCCATTATTGCATTGAGTGACTTGTTCAATTCCCCCATACCCTACAAACTACCAAACCCATTTAATATTGTTCTATTGAGTGTTGACTCGCCATTAGTACGTGCCCTTCCCCGTCTATGGAATTTGTACATGTTCCACAGTATAGCAGGAATCATTCATTGCCTTGATGCCTTGTAATACTAATGAAAATGAGCATTTTGTTTCCGAGTCTTTAATTTTATCATACAATAATTATTTAATCATCCAAAGTTCCTTACCTTCAGGGATCCATTCTAGCAGTTGCTGGTGGAGGTAGTGCATCAGTCAAGCTTTGGGACACTTCCTCATGGCAAATCATTGCGACTCTATCAATTCCTCGTCCAGAAGGACCCAAGCCCTCGGACAAGAGTGGCAGCAAGAAATTTGTTCTGTCAGTTGCATGGAGTCCTGATGGGAAACGACTTGCTTGTGGTTCAATGGATGGCACCATTTCTGTTTTTGACGTGCCACGTGCCAAATTTTTACATCACCTTGAGGGTCACTTCATGCCTGTGCGATCTCTTGTTTATTCTCCTTATGATCCAAGGCTGCTGTTTACAGCTTCGGATGATGGTAATGTCCACATGTATGATGCTGAGGGGAAAGCGTTAGTTGGGACCATGTCAGGTCATGCTAGTTGGGTATTGTGTGTGGACGTGAGCCCAGATGGGGCGGCCATTGCCACGGGTTCAAGTGATAGATCTGTAAGGCTATGGGATCTTAGCATGAGGGCGTCTGTACAGACGATGAGCAACCATACAGACCAGGTATGGGGTGTGGCATTTAGACCACCTGGAGGGAGTGATGTGCGAGGTGGTCGGCTTGCTAGTGTATCAGATGACAAGAGCATATCGCTGTATGATTATTCCTGATTTAGATATTGCGCTATGTATTTTTTACTTTTTGTGGAATGTTATTAATTAATGCTTTCCCTACAGATTGATTTTGAATTGAAGAAAATGCATGTGTTTTGATTCAGTATCCTTTATTAGTTATTTTTGCCCGCATTGCATTCAATAATTAGTTTTTGTTGCCAACAAGCATAAATAGGTGTGATCCTGCCTGACCCAAAATCACCGTGTTGTATATTGGGCAAGCGATTATTATTATTTCTGAACAAAACTTTCTTCTTTTATCGTTGACTTGGAAGATGATGTTCGTAGTCGTAGGTTACCGTTTATAGCAAAATTGCGAGCCGACAGTACATTGCTCAAATATGTGGTATTGCTTTATAAAGCCGTATGGGAAAGTATCAAATCTCCTCCTGATTGCGAGTTTGAGAATGTTTTATTTTCCTTAAATTGCATCGAGAGCGCAAGTGATTGATTTTATCTCTTTTGATTGGGTAATCATTACAAACTTGATTACGGATGATATTAAAATTTATAAAAATAATTTTTATTGTTAAATTGAAGCAAATCAAGCAATATACGTTTGAAAATTTTTATTTCAAAAGCTGGAAAAAACAAAACATGAAATCTACGACCTAACACAGTCTTTTGTTTTCTTTAAGGTGCTTGATGGTAAAATAATCAGTAGCAATAGAACATCGCAGCATGATCGTGTGAGCTGTACAAGAATGTAATTTCAGCAGGA